GTGAAGAAACTCCAGGACTGAGGTGAGATCTTCCAAAGTCCATGAAGTGGCCAGGCACCAGGAATTATATATCTTCCAAATTTTACTGTAAATAGCTCTCGTGACCTCTTTACGACTTGCTATAAGTGTGTCCACTAAGGGTTTTAAGAAACCTCTCTCTTCTAGCTGTTACTTTTCAGAGACCATGCCATGAGTCGTACATTTTCCACTTTTGGATCTATCCCTACTGCTCCGTCCTCTCTGTCCAGGCAAAAACACTGACAGGTTTTGGCATTCTGCCAGTTTGCAAACAAATCTATTTGCGGCTGAGCAGCCCAAACCGGAGTTAAATTGAGGAAATCTTCTTGATTTAGGCACCACTCGCTCTCCTTCAGTTGATGCTTGCTCAGGAAAGCAGCTACCAGATTCAGCAAGCCTTTGAGATGGACTGCTGACAAGCATGCCAAATTTACTTCTGCCCAACTCAAAATTTCTTCTGCCAGACTTTGAAGTCTCTCACTTCTTGTGCCGCCCTGTTTACATAGGCTACCGCAGTGGCATTATACCCGAAACAAGTTAGCTTATCCCCAATTAGGGCACAGCATTGTATTGGACTGCCATTGCGGACCACCTATTCTGCTTTTATTCTCCTTTGGTTTGTGAGTATATATCTATTTGATTTCACAATAAACACGTGGTGTACCACAGTAATGCATGATGAGAGTGTGCCCTTCTTTGCTTTTGTTCATCAATATCCAGATTTCCTGATTTTTGAAGGGCTGCACCTCCCCGTTTGGCATTCTGAATTCCTTCTAGTCTGCATGAAGATTTGAGCGCTGGTTTCGTTTGTTAGTTTTTGGACTGCCCCTGTGTGAGCTAACCTTCCAGGTATGCTCCCCAGCCGCATGAGCTGGCATTCGTTGTGAGGATCCCTTCTACTGGAAAGGACCAGGTTAGACTTTTGGAGAGAACTTCCTCTCTCTTCCACTACCAGACGGATCTTTCCACCCTGGAAGGAACCCGCGAGGTCCAGCGAGGCCATGTCCCCATTCAAAACTCTCAAGATGAATATCTGTAGAGGCTGTTAACAGACCAAGAGCTGACATCAGGAATCTGATTAACACCCGCTGGTTTCCCTGAAGTAGATTCAATGCCGCCTGCATTTTCTGCGTCTTCTGGCAAAATAATTTTCTGTTCTGCTGAAAACCCCAAAAATAAACCTTTAAAACTTTTTGAACGGGGTCAGGTTGGATTTTTGTATGTTCTTGATCCAGCCCAAATTCTTCAGATAGTTGCGGGCTACCTGAAGGGTCCTCTTCAACTGTTCTTCTGAGCTTGTCAAGAACAGAAGATAGTCTAGGTAGGGGGATTACATAACACCTCCAAGCCTTAAGGGAACTAAGGCTTCTGCCATCACTTTCGTGAAAATGCGGGAAGATGATAGCCCGAAAGGCAGTGCCCTGGATTGCAGGTTCGGAACCTCGTGTCCTGACCTCAATGCTAGTTTCAAAAATCTTTGGGAGTGCTCTTGAATTGGGATGTGCAGATAGGTATCCCTTAGATCAATTGATGCCATGAAGCAATTTGGACACAGCATGTTTCTGACTGAAAAGATAAAGTCCATTCAGAACCTCTTGTATTGCACCGCTTTCTTCAATGGCTTTAAGTTGAGGATGAAACTGAATTTTCCCGACGGCATTCCCACCAGAAATATATGGGAATAAAACTCGGTCTGTTCTGCTCCTGACGTGACCATAGACATCACTCTTTGAAAAATCAAATCCTGAACCAGGTTGTTCATGTCAATAGCTTTAACCGAATTTTCAGAATATCCATGACAAAATAACTTTTTGGAGGAATCTCTGCAAACTCGAATTCGTAACCCCTGCCAACCAGACTTTGGATATACAGGCTTGAAGTTATCTTCTCTCCTTGTGGAAGGAACAACTGTAGTCTTCCTCCCACAGGAAGCAGTGGGTCATTGGGATTTTTCAGGCTGCGCAGGAGTATGGAAAAGGACCCCTCCTTTTTCTCTTCCTTTCTGCTATTCCCAAACCTTTTTCTTCCCTTGCAACTTGTCACCTTGCAAACTTCACTAAGGATGGAAAAAAAAGTTTTGGAACTTGTTTCTTCTTTTTATTGTCTGCTGTGCGATCCAGAATTGACTCGAAATTTGGCCCAAAGAGAAGATCTCCTGAAAAAGGGATTCCACACAGCCTAACTTTTGGTTGAGTCCCCCTGATATTGTTTTTTTAACCAGAAGGCCCTTCTCACAGAGTTAGACAAGGCCCTTCTCGCAGAGTTAGACAAAGCAGCTGAGCAAGCTGTCATGCGTATGGATCCTGTGGATGCATCCGCTTTATATCCTACAGCTCTTGAAACTGCAGTGAAGGCATCTAGAATCTTTTCCTTCTGGGTCCCTGCATTGATATGTGCCTGTAGCTGGTTCAACCAATGCTCCAGATACCTTGCTACGCATGTAACTGCCATAGCAGGCTACAAATTCTTTATTGTGGAAAGCCGTGCTTTTATAAATTGCCTTTTTTAGGCTCCCCGTGTCTTCAAATGCTAAATCTGTACTTTGAGACTTGGAAGACAGCAGCATCCACCTTAGGCACTTTTTTCCATACTGAAGAGGAGTCTTCTTCAAATGGCAACTGTCACGATATGGGTCTCTGCCAGTCCCAGGTATTAATTCCTTGTTCCTAATCCCTCCTGGCCATAGGAAGAGCTTCCTTCAATTAGTATTCAATCCTGTGTGCCAAAGACCCCTAGCTGTAATTAACTCGCCCCTCCACAAAAGGTCCCAAATTTAGGAAGAGCTTCCTGCAATTAGTATTCACTCCTGTGTGCCAAAGGCCCCTAGCTGTAATTAACTCGCCCCTCCACAAAAGGTCCCAAATTCAATTAGTGTATACATCCCTAATTAGTGCCTTACTTTTGTATTAATGTATTTCCCCCCGCTAATTATCCTGCCCAACCAGTCCTTTTTGTGTACAGCTGCAAATTAAATTACTGTAGTTCCATTCTTTTCATTGTCACCTGCTAATGACCCCCCTCCACCTCTCTTCCTCCTCAGGGGGTTTTAAGAGGCCAGTGCTGGTCTCTCTTGGTGTGCCATTCTGCTGGGCAACCACCGAGAGGTCCAGCTGGACTCTAATGGCCCCCCGGCTCTGCCTGAGCCCCATTGGAGGAAGGGGGATCCCAGAAGCTACATCAGCCCTGCCTGGAACGCTGTCAGCTCTGCCTGAGACTATCACATCAGCTTTGCGTGAGTGTATGCTCCCCTTGTGCTATCTGACTGCTTATGAACTGCCTCCTGGATTACAAATTGCTGTAGAGCCTTTAACTTTGCCCACCGGGGCTGGATTACAAGTATTTTGGACTCTCTTTCCCTGCACTACTCCCCATTGAGTGACTGTTGTCTGTTTTAATAAATCTTTAAGTGTTTGCCGTCTGCCTTGTGTGTTCTGTCCCACTTACCCTCCGTCATAGCAACCATCTCAGTGAGATCTTGGAAAAAAAAAAAACTGTTTCAGGATCCTGCCATTCCTTTTTTTTTATTAATGTCTGAGACAGCTGAATGTACAGGAAAACATCTCCCTTTTGGTTCACTAAGCCCCAGATACATTTTAATCACAGATCCTTTTCCTCCTCTTCAATGCCTAAGATGGCGTGATTTGCTTTAAGGAGATTCTCCACATCCTCCAGCAACAGTTTATACTTGATGCTGAAGAATCCTCCACCCCTTCCCCATCATTTTCCAAATCTCCCTCTGACCGTGGAGGAGAGACAGCAATCTGTGCAGAGGGTATCCCTGACCCTGCATCTAAGGAAGCTGATGACTGTGGTGTGAGGGTGGGCTCAGAAGCACCCATCTCTAAACGAATGCAAAGTCACACTCCACTCAGCCTTCATAGAAGCCAGAAAATCACTACTGTAGATGTTGAAGCTACCTTCTCTGGTTTCCCCCAACTATGATAAATGTCCTGAAAGACCCCCTGGTTCAGGCCCAATTCTTCTGGGTCCTCATGTTGCCAGCTGAGAAAATCCTCCCGCTAATCATTTATGCCAGGGATGTACCAGACAGAGGGAACTGGAAAATGTTTTGGCCAGGTCAGTATAATTTATGACCGCTCTTGCCACATTGAGATTTTTTTGTTCTTCCCTGATAGCGGACATATACTGAGAAAATGGATGCCCAATTGGATGACCAGTCCAGTACTGGAGAGAACTGGATCGCCTAAAGGTCCAAGATATTGAATGGAAAACAAAACTCCTTCATCAACCAAGTTTTCTATACTGATAAGTTGGTCAGAATTCTTCCCCAGCTGGCATCTGTGATCAGGATCTTCCAAAAAAAGAGAAAAAGTGACTTTATTGAGTACAAAGCCACCATGCAGGGTTGTCCTAGATCCTGCATTTAAATGTATCACACTGTCCAGGGATACAGGAACTTGTCCCATATTGACAGGATGTTCTACATTCAAATCAATGAGGCAACACAACAATTGCTGGCCTTGTAGTTGTAGGGTGTTTGTTACATTGAAAAAAAAAAAAAAAACACAGGCATTCAAGAGGTGGCAGGATTGCCTCCTGCCTGGAAGCCACTGCTAAGCCATCCTCTGAAAAGCAATGAACCGTGGATCACTTTTTACAGTGTGCTGCAGTGTGGACTCGGCAATTAATATGCAAATGCAAACTTTTCAGCTCTGAAATGAGAGGAACTGTGCTAATGCAATGTATGACTATCGATTAGAAAGGCTCAAATTTGATGCAAAATAGGTGAGATTTTCCTTCCAATTCAAACATAAATGTAGATATTTACAGGACATTCTGAAACCTCAACAGATGAGCAAGCAGGCTCCTTGAAGTATTTAATATGGGCTTATTAATCGGTCAGTTTCTAGATTTTGTTCTAGTGATGGTTAGAAAAATAAACGTATCATTATGTTCTGTAAATATCACTATGACACAAAAATCCATAGGAAAAGACAAGAAAAAGTGACTGTAATGTTTACCTCTTCAACATTTTCTGTAGTCTCTGCTGCAATTCTCTCTAGGATTGGAGTGCACCTTGTTTGGATGTACATAAGCATTATAGACACAGATGCAATATTTCTATAGGTAATCTGAGGTAGCAACCGAAGGCAGCAATCCAAGGTGGCTTCCACAAGGACATACTGAAACCACTGTCCCTTCATCGCGTTCATTAGCGCCTCGAAGAGAACATCAATGTTCTTCATATTCCTGATTTGTTCCAACGCATGTGTGTTTATTTTTTTGTACAATTTTTTATAATGAAGTGTTTTTGGGTTTTTCAACAACCATAGTATGACAGCATCAGCCATGTGACTTATCTGGGCTAGATTACACTGCATAACAATAGCATCCATCTTAGAAATTATGGCTTTGTCCACACTTCTAGGGCACATCAGGGACAGGGCTTGGGTCATCATGATAACATCATTCGTGATTGAAGACTCCTTTAACTTGCTGTGCAAAGACAAAATAAAAACATTTTAGAAATACAATTTGTTGTAACAAAAGTTAAAATTATATTGCAGCTTACCAATTCTTAGATGTGATGGTTGCATTAATTTTCTTTAGGCTTGCTTTTTTACTATTTTTACCTGGTGATCCGGCCAGTAAGTCTGTTTTTCAAAAGAACAAGTTCTCCAGCAGAATATATAAATTTCAGAGATAAGACAAACCATTTAACATTAGCGGGTTGCTTACAATGAACAGCTTTTATGTAAAACCTGTATCCCAAAAGCAACAAAAACGGTTTTTACTGTAATTGCCTATAAAGCATTAGCTGGAGTTTGGCTTCAGTTTGTTAAGTGTATCTAAATATGCTAGCACATCTAACACTCCCCTACACCTACAATGCTGCTGTCCAAAGGTGCCCCTTCTTCCCCTTCATCCAGAGTGGGGACATGCTAATACAGGAAGTGTGTTATTGGCCAGAACAGCAGGTGAAAACAGAAGAAAAAAAGCCTCAGAAAATAAAACTGGTTTTGGGTTTAATACTGCTTTAAATCCCAACCTCACAATTTTACACCTTTTTTTTTTTTGCAGTCACCCCACTCCCAGCAACTATTTCAGAAAAAAATAAATTTCATATATACATCTTTAAAAGGATATCTGTTTCCAGACTACGGACATTAGGCTATTTACATATTCTTGACCAGAAGTAAAAGAGCTTTAAAACAAGTCTCTGACCTCTCTAGCTGATTGTATTGTATAGGGATTCATTCTCAAAGAGCACAAAAAAGACTCCTGAAATCTATTCCTAAGGCTGTTTAAGAAACTAAAGACGCTTGCAAAATGTGTCACTCTTGCGGTGCCATTCATTGTCGTTGGCACCAAAAACATAGCAAGCAGATGCTCACATTTTCACAGGACAAACACTGAAAAACATGCAGAGCTTGAATAGGCGCATGAGCCACAAAAAGAAACCTGCAAAAACATGCATATGTGCAAATCCTGCCATTGCACATCATAGTGCAAATGGGGCCTTACACCTTAGAAACATCTGCTGTCCTTTCCTACCCCCCCAAGAGTCAGGTATTGTCTTCAGATATATGCATAACCACCTGCAATACTTATTTACTGACATCTAATCTTCATTTGTTATTACTGTTCCATTAAGATGTTTATATTATAAACAGCCACCGCGTTATTATTGTGTGCAAGGCTGACAGAGGACAATTCTGTGTTGTGCTGATATTTCCTCTGGTTGTATACTATAAATTTTTCAATAAAAAATGACATAAAAGAAACATCTGCTGTGTTTACATTGGAACGCTGGCAGGCTGCCAACACTCTGCTCTCAAGGAAATATGTAAATACTTTAGTGTATGCTCAGGTGGTACAGTCTTTTCATATGTCTACACTAGATCAAAATTATGCCATACATCCCAAGAGTCTTCATGGGCTTTTTTTATTTAATCTGGAGGAGGTGCTTTCTCAACTAAGCACACCCTCCTGTCTGCTTGCCTGAGCTAAGGGCAGATAGATTCCAGGAAGTAAATGCTACTTAAATCATCTGCCGTTATGAAAGATGGCCACGACTAGAAATGCTGGGGGGGGTCAAAGTTATTTCTTAACAAAATAAAGCATGGAGATATTTGTTCAAAGATTACTTTGAATATCAAAACTTAATTAAATAACTTTTTCCTTTGTAGTGCTCCAATAGAGTCAAGTTACACTTAAACTATTCTGCAGTTTTTACTTCAACTAATGAGAGGTTAAAATTTGTCTGATCTATTTTCCTTCACTTTGCACATCATCATTTCTCTTTACACTGATCCCATAGCAAGTATACATTACATGAAAAAAATAAAAAAACTCACCGCTAGTTAATAAAACAACTCCATACTTACCATGTTAAGTGCTGTTCTAATTTTGCAAGCAATTTATAATCATAGCATGACAAAGATACCACTGAATTTATTATTATGCATAGATGCAGTGTCGTGTAGAGATCCAACTTTTTCATAATCCTGGAACAAATCCTGTAAGAACAGATTAGAAAAAAAACCTTAAAACACAACAAAATGATGCATAATCTCCAAACCATTAAAGTAGTATTATAGGCAAATAACATTTATCAATATAACACCAGCAATGTAAACTGGACCTCTGTGGACAGTATTTCAAGGGACACGGTCTTTGTACTAAAAGGTTATTTAAGAAACACACCATCATGCCTAAAGTGTATGTGAACCGGGTATGTATGTATGTATGTATGTATGTAAGTAAATGTATGTAAACTTCCTGTTAAATATACCTTTCAAAGCATTATGATATATCTGTTTTATAAAGTAAAAAAACACCTGTTAATCTGGTCAGAAATTCACAGATGCCTAGTGCCCTGTGCCTGTTTTATCTCAAAGAATCTATTAAACTTCCTTGTTCTTATCTTGGACTACAGAATGATTAGCCTTTAAGCCAGGGGTCAGTGGCAACCCCTGGCACGCATGCCAAACATGGCACGCAGCTGTATTTGTGATGGCACGCGAGGGCAGCCCTGGGACACCCACCTCCCACATCAGCAAAGCCGGCCGATGGTTGCAGCTGCTTTTAAGGGGTTAACACGATCGGTTCTTTGGCAGCTTTTATCCTGCCCACCTCCCGTTCCCTGCCCACCTCACTTTGCTTGCCTGCATGACACTGAAGAAGTGTAGAGTGGTGAGTACAGCCTGATCTCCTTCTATGGAAGCAGAGTCTGCATGGGTCGGTAAGCTCCTCCTGCCATCCTCGGAGTGCACTCATCCTTTTCATTGGACATGTAGTGGAGCTGTTTTGTCCCACACAGCCGACACCAAATTGTTTTACAAACACATCCTGGACCTGCACAGTGTGACTGCAGCTGACTGTTGTAGTTCTCAGATCAGAAAAGCAGCACAGCTACAACAACCAGTTACAGTCACACTGTGTAGTTCCAGGATGTGTTTGTAAAACAATCAGATCTCAGCTTTGTGCAGTGTGGAAAGGAGCAGCTCTGTTGAGTGCCCTGCCACCAGTAACCCCATCCCCTGACCTGCTAACCCTGTCCTCTGCCCTGCGGACCCCAACCTTTGCACTGTAGACCCCATTCTTTGCCCTACTGACCCCTGTCCTCTGCCCTGCTGACCTCATACTTTGCTGTGCTAACCCCTGTACTCTGTCTTGTGGACCCCGTCCTATGTTATACTGACCCCTGTCCTCTACTACCCTGTCCCATGTCCTAGTGACCCCTGTCCTCTACCCTGCAGACCCCATCCTGTGCACTGTAGACCGCATCCTATGTCTTGCTAACCCCTGCCCTCAGCCCTGCGGACCCCATCCTATGCCCTGCTGACCTCATCCTATGTGAAACTGACCTCTGTTCTCTACCCTGTGCACCCCGTCCTGTGCCCTGCTGACCCAATCCTATGTCCTAGTGACCCATGTCCTCTTCCCTGTGGACCCCATTCGGTGCACTGCAGACCCCATCCTATGCCCTGCTGATCATCTGCCATGCTGACTCCATGCGTTTTCCTGCTGATCACATCCTCTGCACTGGTGACCCCTGCCCTATGCCCTTACTGACGCCTTCCCTATGCCCTGTTGACCCCTGTACACTGCTTACCCCTGTTTACCCCTTTTCTATGCCCTATTGATCTCATCCTCTGCCCTGCTGACCCTCAGTTTTTTGCCCTGCTGACCCCTATCTAATGCCCTGGTGACCCCATCCTCTACCTTGCTAACCCCTGTCCCCTGCACCACTAACCGCTGTGCACTATCCTGCTGACCCCCTGTCCTCTGTTTTGCTCACCACTGTATGCTCCCCTTCTGACCTGATTTTAACCCTTGATTGCAATAAACACTTTTTGGAACATACTACACTATTGGCACTTGTTTTTTGACTCCTATGTGAGCTATTAAACCCGCAGATAGTTCCCATTGTATCCAGCATCCAGAGTAGGGAGCCCTGTATCCAGGCTGAGCACCCATCTATCCTTAAGGGGACCTCTGGACTCAACAGATTTCCATACTACCCCAAGCTTGATGACCATTACATAGAAGGAAGCTCATCATCCTTCCATCACAGAGTCCTACTTTGTGGTTATACACTTATATGCGCATTATCCATGCGCTTTCAGTGAGTGCGCACTTTTACCATTTGATTCCAGTCACAAGTTTATTTAGAAATCTGCTGCTGAGGAGATCATCAACCTGTGCCATTTGAACTTTATTAGTTTATCGAATGAACTAATTTTAACGATTATTTATGCTTATGATTTATTTATTCATATAGATTAGCGCTGCACTTTATTTTACTTATTGCTATTCGGAGGTTACTGTGGTTACCTTGAATGTTTCAGCTGCTACCTTAAGAGCGCTCACTATATCACCATTTTTTTCTGAATGCTCAAAAGATTGCCTACCCCTGCTTTAAGCTATAAAGATCTGAGAGTGGGAGTGGTTGAGTAGTTTTGCAAAATACACTGAAAGAGAGAACATCAGCCAATCCACAAAATTGCTGTGTGGTATTACAACAGGAACTGACTGCAGTTTTGGCAGATCAACAGATATTATTCTGTACTTGTGCAAAGAAAAAAAAAAACATCAATAAATATAAAATTCACTTATCCTAACAATCAATATTAGATTGTGCAAATACCTAAAAGGTGCTATTTCATATATGGACCATGAATAAACAAAAGTGCTAGTGCATGTATAGACCATAAATAAACTAATCAATTAATAAATACATACATATACAAATGGATGACAAAGTTGCTACAGCAAAGTAACCAATATATTAAGCTAGTGCAAATTTCTTACAACATGTGCCAAGAACAAACAGGAGGTAAGTGTTACTCCATATGACTCATCCACCATGAATCACTCAACCTTTTACCAAAAGTTGTTGATCTCCTGAGTTAACGGAGATCAGTATTCGCTCATTGTGTATCCCTTTAGGCACCACCTGTCAGGACCACTGCAATCATCCAGAACTCCAGCCAGCCAGACACAAAAAGGGTTCTGTACTTTCAGGGTTTTTAAAGGGATAAAACATGGGGAATTGTGTTATGTTTTTTTTTTTATTATTCTTTTGCACTGACATACACTTCAGGGTTAAAAAAATTGTTATACAAAAGTGACAAGAATTCATGCAGCCTTGATGAATTATGGCCTTCTTTTGCTTAATTTAGTGATTTCCTATAATTATTAGCTTTATATAGTGTCCTTAAAGCAGAGCTCCAGTCATTTTTGAAAAAAAAAAAAAAAAAAATCAGCAGCTACAAAAAATTTAGCTGCTGACTTTTAATAAACAGACACTTACCTGTCCTCAGATCCAGCGGTGTGTTCACTCAAGGGGGCGCAGAGTACCGTCTTCAGTCCCAGATGCCAGCATCTTAGCTGTGGGCACCTGACTGTGACAGCTTGTGGCTTCACAGCTGGGTGCCCAATGCACATGCGATTGGTCCTGCAGTCTTCCGGGACCTGTGCTGTGTCCCAGAAGAATGCGGGGAGGGAGGGAGGGGGGAAGGAAAGGAGCACTTTCGTTTGGATCACCTAGGCAATCTGAGCGGAAGTGGGAGCAGGTACCTGTGAAAATCAGGAGGGGGGATGGGCCTTAAAGTGGAACTTCCCCTTTTGGGTGGAGTTCCATTTTAATGTGGTATGTTTTCTGACTGAGGCATTTCAGAAACAATATTGCATTATGGCCACCAGATGGATGATTACCGGAATTCAATTTATTAAGCAAAATATGGTCAGAATGATAGAGGTCTGATTAATAAATTCAATACAGGCTTAGAGTATGATGCTGCTAAAATAAATGAACTGTTATAATAAGAGACAATGTTGACAAATGTATTGCTATACTAAAGCATATAAATAAGCGAGCGCCTTCCAAATAGCAGCAGCTGTACACCTAAGGCACCATATAAGACCTTCCAATACACAGTAATATACAAAAGGTGCAGCGCTAAATGTATTGCTATGTTTGGTGAAATGTATGCAGAACCAGAATTGACAGTTTTGTATGTTCATGTTTAGAGTGTTCCAATTGTTAAGTCATACAAACTTATCTGAAGAAAAAGATTACAGGCAGAATTCTTCAAGCAAGCAAATGCTTGCCAAATCAGTTCATTTTTTTTTTTGGGCAGCCAGGTTTAGGTATAGAATGTTTCTGAGGAAACAAGTATAATCAGGGGATAATGCTTGAACTAAGCACACACTAAAAAGTCTGCACTCAAAAAAAAAATTCAATTAAAAAAGCGTTTGATTAAAAAAAAAAAAAAAAAAAAAAAAAATCTCCATTTTCTCTGACTCGGGAATCAATGGCACTGGTAACTGCTGTATAAAAACTTAGCTAGCTGAGAAGCAGAAGGTAGAAAGGGTGTACATGGATAAAAATGACAGATTATTATTATTATACAGTATTTATATAGCGCTAAAAAGGTTTGCTCAGCGCTGTACATTATAGTGGGGGACAGAACATGAGACAATACAGTAACAAAACACGAGGGATTCAAGGGCCCTGCTCTTTCGAGCTTACAATCTAGAAGATATACAGTGGGTAGGCTGTGTACCCCTAAACATTTTAAATGTATGCTTTTTACGTTTGACTGGAGTATCGCTTTAAATCAACCTCACCTCACATACTCCAAGGAAAACACACATGTGCAAAAACAATTCAGACACAGATCATAAACACATAAAATGGCCAAACTGCACAGCTCTATAACAAGCTTTCCTTTTACACCTCTGTATAGTCTTTTGTAGACTAGAGTTCTTTAAGTGAACAACAAAAAAATAATAAAATGGCATTCGAGGATCTAGCTGAAAATAAACTTACTTGTGAATCAGGATGGGATTTCTACATCTGGCTATAGCCATGCTTCTCAATATGCCCAATAATTGGCTGTGATCTATTTGATCTGTCAAACCCAAAAGAACGTTTTCAAGTCTAGTGGGGAAAAAAAAATAAAAAGATCATAAATCTACAAAGCTGCAATATATACAGCTATTCAGGAATTAGTAGCCAAAAACGAACCCACACTTTACTGTCCAATAGGTCACTGGCAGAATCACCAAGTGAAAATAAAAAAAACGAATGGGAAAAGAAAAGTGCAGCCACAACATTTTAGAAGCTGCAATATATTACATTTTAGGTTCCTGGGTTTAGATCTTTAATAACACACTGTTTTGTGCATACAGTGCCTTGAAAAAGAATTCATACCCCTTGACATTTTCCACATTTTGTCATGTTACAACCAAAAACGTAAATGTATTTTACTGGGCATTTATGTGATAGGCCAACACAAAGTGGCTCATACGGTTCTGCTCAAAAGTTTGCATACCCTGGCAGAAACTGTGTCATCTCTTCCCAGAGCAGCCTGTCGGTTATTCTTTGAATCCATGACAATTCTTCTGTCAATTATGGCTGCAATCTTTCTTGGTCTACCTGACCTTGGCTTGGTATCAAGAGATTCACTTCTTAATATGTGATTTAACAGTATTGATTGGCATATTCAAGACTTTGGACATCTATTTATGTCCTTTTCCATCTTTATAAAGTTCCATTACCTTGTTACGCAGGACTTTTGACAGTTCTTTTCTGATCCCCATGGCTCAGTATCTAGCCTAGTCAGCACTTCCATGTTAGAGCAAACAAACTCTTTGACTATTTATACACTGACACTAATTGCAATTTAAAAGACACAGATATGGGACAGTAACCTAACCCGTTGTCACCTTGTGTGTCTGTACCAAGGTCACACATTCCAGGGTATGTAAACTTTTGATCAGGGCCATTTGGGTGATTTCTGTTATCATTATGATTTAAAAAGGAACCAAACAACTATTTGATAATAAATGTCTTCATATGATCATCATCCTTCAATAAAAGAGTATTTTTTGGCATGATCAGTCATATTTTCAATATCAATGCCAAAATTTCACAATTTGGTGGTGGCAGCATCATGTAGTGGGGATGCTTTTCTTCAGCAGGGACTGGGAAGCTGGTCAGAGTTGATGGGAAGATGGATGGAGCCAAATACAGGGCGATCTTTGAAGAAAACTTGTTAAGAGTCTGCAAAAGACTTTAAACTGGGGCGGAGGTTCACCTTCCAGCAGGACAATGATCCTAAACATACAGCCAGAGCTACAATGGAATGGTTTAGATCAAAGAATATTCATGTGTTTAAATGGCCCAGTCAAAGTCCAGATCTAAATCCAATTGACAATCTGTGGCAAGCCTTGAAAATTATTGCTCACAGATGCTCTCCATCCAATCTGACAGAGCGTAAGCTATTTTGCCAACACGAACGGGCAAAAATTGCACTCTCTAGATGTGCAAAGCTGGTACAGACATCCCCAAAAAGACTTACAGCTGTAAATGCAGCAAAAGGTGGTTCTACAAAGTCTTGACTCAGAGGGGCTGAATACAACTGCGCACCACTCTTTTCACATATTTATTTGTAAAAAACATTTTGAAAACCATTTATCTTTTTCCTTCCACTTCACAATTATGTGCCACTTTGCGTTGGTCTATCACATAAAATCCCATTAAAATACATTTATGTTTTTGGTTGTAACATAAAATGTGGAAAATTTCAAGGGGTATGAATACTTTTTCAAGGCACTGTACTTCTGAGAGTAGGCCAGTTACAGGAGCAGTGGCGTAAAGATTCTAAAAATTCCCCACAAAAAAAGTTCTCTAAAACCAGCCATACATGGATCGAAATTCAGCCAGTTCAGCAGAGACCAGCCGAGATTCCATCCATGTATGTGCAGGATGATTGTACTCAAATTGATCCATCGATCGACTTGGGTACAACTAGCCTATTGGATTTTTTTACATTAGATTACTGCTAGTAGCTATAGCCACTAGCAGTAACCACTGTGTTCTGCCTGCTGGGAAGAAGCCCCACCCTTCCAATGCTGGCAGAACACAACGGAACTGCAGGAGGCATTCCCCCAGCAAAAGTGATTGTTTGGATGGGGGAATCAAGCAATTTTCTTTCCTTCCACCTATGGTGGAAGGAAAGAAAATCAAATAGACGTTGGACTACATAAACCACATATAAGAGAAAAAGGATTATTATTTGAAAGGTATGAAAAAAAATCAAGAATTGGTGCAATTTTAAATTGAAAGGTATTTTTAATTGTTTTAAACTTTGGCTTAAAACCCTCACCTTTCTCTTGTCTCTTGTGAAGTCAAAGGTAGCAAACTTAACGCTTTGGTGAAATCTTCAGTAGTGTTACACTGCTCCAATAACTTGGGCAATCTTGACTTTACCGATACTGGAATTTCAAAGAGGCTATAGCCTAAAGAATGGTACAGCTTAAAGAGAACACAAAACTTTTTCAAATCCACTGTTTTCATCTTCTGTATGATAAATCTGGCATATTTTTTCTTGACTCTTGGTTTAACGGAACCCATGTTTCGTAAAAAAATAACAATCCTTTCCATGGTACGAGTACTAACTGATTCTTCCTCTTCTATTAGAGAATCTGCCTTTGCGATCAGTCGATGCTGTAGGCTTGTTGAACAGACAGATTGTAAGTAGAACATCAGAATGGAGAGGACTCTGAAAAAGAGGGAAGAGTTTACAGTACATACTGAACGTCAGGCAAAAAAAAAAAAAAACTAATGCTGTATTTTCGGGGTAAAGTAGACATCATAGCTATACTATTCTATAAATGCTTTATACTGCTGAAGTAAAGTAACAACCACCTTTCGTCCCTGTAGAAAGAAATGTAAGTTCTTTAACCGCTTCCCTTCCGTCCTATAGCAGAATAATGGCTACAGGGCAGCACGGGTGCGCAAAATCACGTATATATACATGATTTTGCATACCTGGGTAGGGGGCGACCATGCCCTATCCGTGCTGCCATTAACAGCCTTAGCTGTCAATCACCAGGTCCCAGCCGGTGATTATTTGCCGATGCCCGGTGATTGCATATATCCGACAGGGGGGAGAACTGTTTGTAAACAAAACAGTTCTCTCCCCTGTCAGCTCCTGCACACTGCTTTGCATGGCTGTGCATAGCACAGCCATGCAAAGCAGTGTGCTTCCAGTGAAACACAAACACAGCCCAGAATGTAAAACGGCACGCAGCACACAGTTAACCCTTAGATCGCCCATGTTAACCCCTTCCTGCCCAGAGCCATTAATACAGCGTCACTGATTTTTATTAGCACTGATCTTTGTACTGGTGTCACTGAGGATGTCTGTGACACCAAGTCAGTTCCCCCCAGTGTCAGAATGCCTGCCGCAGTCTCGCTATAAGTCGCTGATCGCCACCATTACAAGTAAAATAAAAAAACAAAAATCCCAGTATTCATACCGCCATTTGTAGACAATATGACTTTCACGTAAACCAATTAATTTACATGTATTGGGATTTCTTTTTTTAGCAGACATGTAGCAGAATACATTTTGCCCTAAATTTATGCCGAAATTAGATTTTTAACTTTTTTTTACTGGACAGGTTTAAATAGAAAAAAGTAAAAAATTGTTCTCAAAATTGGTCCTTTTTTATATAGCGCAAAAAATAACCGCACAGGGGATCAAATACCATGGAAAGAAAGCTCTATTTATGGGAAAAAAAGGCCGGAAATTTCATTTGGGTGCAGCATCGCATGATCGCGCAATTGTCAATTAATGTAGCACAGCGCCATAATGCAAAAAATAACCTGGTCAGGAAGGTGGGTACATCCTCTGGAGGGCAAGTGGTTAAAACTACAACCTAGTATGGTTATAAAATAATGATGATTAGACACTATTACTCTACCATCCATTTCGTTAGTCAGACAGAGATAAACTCTTCCTGGAGTTCCAGATCCTCTGACTTATGGGCCACCCACAGTCACACCCATTCCTTCATTGCAATGTTATTGCTGTGATGTCACATCACAAAATCTCACCAGATAAAAAAAGGAAAAATAGTAAACACTCTAGGTCAGAGTTTACTAAGCAGTGGCTTTCTTCTCCGATCTTACAAAATTTGTATTTACAGCATTAACACTCATGAAAAATGAGCTGGGATGCGAAACCACAAATGGTTCGGAGTATGCTTATAAGAGCTATGTTCTGTTAAGAGTTATGAACAGGGGGGGGGGTATTTATCAAGCAAATTAGTGACAAAATCGGTCACTGACCATGCCGCCAAGGCTTCCAGGATGAATCATAGTAATTCTTTGTTTTAGCGCTGACCAATCAGAATTGCGCTCATCCATTCTAGAAGTGAGGGAGATTTCCATTCCCCAGGCCTCTACACTGGCTTTGTGGGCAGCTCATTATCCACAGAGGTAAGTACAGCGGGGACAGTTTGGGGGTAGGGAGGATGTAGGATGTTCACCTTTTCATTTTTTCTGGAAAAGTGTACTTGTACTTTAATGGGATACATGTGCATTTATAAGGTTGACCAGTACTAATCTTTTGTATTGCTGAATCTTAAACTCACCGTTATGCAATAGACAGAACAAGGTTTCATTGGATTACACAATACATTTTAGATAACTACGTACAATTTACTGTGTTGCACAATAAAACAAGCATGCTAGTACTGGGTTAAATTGAACATAATTTAGAAGCACTGGTTACTTTAGATCTTGCAGATTATCAAGATTCTTGTCCAAAATGTTGGCCATTTCTCCGAGCAAGGGCTTGAAAACAAATCTTGTCTTGCCAAACAATCAGAAAACTCTGATAAAGTCAAAAAGTCAAATCTGTAAAAAAGAGCAGAAACTGAATTATACAAAAAAAAAACAAATCCGATTACATAGGAGAAATCAGTACAATGGTAATAGGCTTAGTCAACTGTAACAATGTATTGTGAACATATTACATCCTGCTTTACAGAATGCACAAATATTCACATCCCACTGCCATAAAAAGAACTTACATTTTAATTCCCCCATCTCAGTCTAAAGACACAAACTTAGGTTTTTGAGCTGTGTGAGGAAATTGGAGCACCAGGTAGAAAAAAAAAAGTCACATAAAACAAGACAACAATATACTAATTTCAAATCAGAATTAACACAGTGATGCTTTGTAAGATGTAGGGCATCAACTCTGTATTCTCCTCCTGTCAGCACATGTGAATGTATCATAGCCTGATTAGCCTAGAGCTATCCCTCCCTCTCCTAGTCTGATGCTGTTTAATGGATAAGTTCACATTTGGGAATATGTTACATGTTCCACCTGTTTTTAGGGTGGAAAATGTTACACGTTCCCATAGCTCCAGCCACGCCGGCTGCCCCCCCCTCCCTCTGACAGATAGTACAGGGAGAAGTTTCCCTATACGATCTGTCAAATTTGAAAACAGCTCCGCCCACACGGCCTCGTCATTCATTCACGAACTTAACCTTTAAAAAAGAAGACAGGAGGTTGATAGAAGACATATGTAGACATACATAGATTTTCTTATATAAAAACATACAGGTGAAACTCGAAAAATTAGAATATCGTGCAAAAGTTCATTTATTTCAGTAAAGCAACTTAAAAGGTGAAACTAGTATATGAGATAGACTCATTACATGCAAAGCAAGATAGTTCAAGCCGTGATTTGTCATAATTGTGATGATTATGGCTTACAGCTCATGAAATCCCAAAATCCACAATCTCAGAAAATTAGACTATTACATGCAATCAATAAAACAAGGATTGTACATAGAACAATATCGGACCTCTGAAAAGTATAAGCATGCATATGTACTCAGTACTTGGTTTGGGCCCCTTTTGCAGCAATTACTGCCTCAATGCGGCGTGGCATGGAAGCTATCAGCCTGTGGCACTGCTGAGGTGTTATGGGAGACCAGGATGCTTCAATAGCGGCCTTCAGCTCTTCTGCATTGTTCGGTCTCATGTCTCTCATCTTTCTCTTGGCAATGCCCCATAGATTCTCTATGGGGTTCAGGTCAGGCAAGTTTGCTGGCCAATCAAGCACAGTAATTCCACGGTCATTGAACCAGGTTTTGGTGCTTTTGGCAGTGTGGGCAGGTGCCAAATCCTGCTGGAAAATGAAGTCAGCATCCCCATAAAAAATATCTGATATAAATGGGGATTCCCTGCATGTCTGATTGGATGGAGAGATGCACATTCAGCTAGACTGAGATTCCCAGAAGAATTGCAGGACTTCTGCGGGAGGCTAGATTTAAGTACCCGATATTCCAAATTGGACAGAGGGAAAAGAAGGAGGAAACGGGACTAGAAAAACAGAGATGGCATTTGATTCCAAAGAAAAGCCAGTAATCATGAAGAAACAAGTGTGGAAGTAAGAAGATTGAACAACAATGTGAAGAAAGTTAGAAAAAAATGTAGAAAAAATAAAAATAGTCCCTAAGAGACTTTAGGGACAAAGTATTTTACCAAATGGAGAAATGTAAAAAGGCTATATTTTCCTTTTTTTAGAGGACAGACCTAGTTGGTTATTGTTTTTTTCTTTTTCGGCTCCCCTTCCCCCCCCTGGCCTCACACCCCCCCTAACTATATACCCCCCCCCCCCCCCTTATTTTTCCTTTCCCTCGTCCTCCTCCACTGGGTATTTAAGTGGAACGGGGGATAGATGACCTAAGGGGGGCCTAAGGGGGGGGGGGGTAATTTTGGCAACACAAAAGGTAAGAAGAGAGATTATATTAAAATGGCGGGACACAGGGAGGCGTAGAATGCTTGGAAACCCACTCCCCAAAAGGGAGAGAAAGGGCGAGTGGGAGGTGTCCATGGATGGAGTCCAGCCCCCAACTAGAGGGATCAAGGGTGGGGAGGGAAGCACAACAGATCCAAGGGCTAGATTTGGGCCATATGAGTGGGGGGTGGGGGAGTAGGAGGGGGGGGGGGTATCTTGAAATTTTCATTTGGCTCCAAATTCACTATTTAGATTCCTCACTCTTTATAAACCAAGAAGGGATTAACATAAAAAGATGGTGGATAAGAACGTAATTATCTCATGAAACAAGAATTAAGTTACAATCAAGATATTATCCAACTTGGTATTATGCAGATTCATCAACAAAATGAGCTCAAGGAGTAGCGATAGTGATGGCAAAAGATATAAGATTTACTATAGAAGATAAATTGGTTGACCCAGAGGGCCGGTACCTATGTTTGAATGGAAAAATTATACGATATGAAATGTACGCTAGCAAATAAGAATGCAATGGTTTATTTAGAAGATACTTCAAGGAAATTGATGGACTTCAAGGAAGGAAAATTGATTGTGGTGGGGGATTTCAATTTTTGCATGGATCTGCAACTGGATACTTCATCTCATTTACAGAGAGAAGGAGGTAAATATCTAAAATCTTTAAAAAAAAGATGTTACATCAATGTTAATTGATAGATGCATGGAGGATTAAGCAAACGGGAGAGGAACTACACGTTTTACTCCTCTGTACATGCAACGTATTTCAGATTGGACTACGTACTGACAGAGCATAGATTACTGGAGTCACTGATTAAATCCAGTATTGAAATTACTTCTCTCTCAGACCATGAACCGGTCACAATGAAGTTGAAATTTGAAGGAGATTTAAATACTATAAATACATGGAAGTTAAATGAGACACTATTACAGGATCAGTAGACTGAGGGAAGAATAAAAAGAGAAATAGAACAGTATTTCCAGTGAAATGAAACCGAAGACGTTTCAATGGCCACGATATGGGAAGCCCATAAAGCATATAAAAACGGGTATCCTGGTTTCGATAGGGGAAGAAAAAAAAAAAAGAAGAAACGAGTGGAAAAGATGAGAACACTAATAGAGGAATTATATAAACTAGAATAAGAACATAAAAGAACAGAAATAGAAGTACAAAAGAAGATAATTCTAAAAAGAGAAAAGTTGAACGATCTAATGGAACAGGAGACAAAAAGAGTTTTCAATATGGTGGCAAAGGAAAGGTATCAGTGGGGTAATAGAACAGGAAAATATTTGGTAAAAATAATAGGGAAAAATAAATCAGTAAATTATATAGAGAAGATTAGAAACAAAAAACGGGAGAGGTAGTATACTCAACTAAAATGATTGCTAGCGTATTTCACAAATATCATAGTTCACTGTATGCGTTAAAACATAAGGAGCAAAAGGTTGTGTCTGGGGTCGTTATCATGTTAGAATACTGCCGTGCAGCCCAGTCTCTGAAGTGAAGGGATCATGCTCTGCTTCAGTATGTCACAGTACATGCTGGCATTCATGGTTCCCTTAATGAACTGTAGCTCCCCAGTGTCGGCAGCACTCATGCAGCCCCAGACCATGACACTCCCACCACCATACCACCATGGTTGACTGTAGGCAAGACACACTTGTATTTGTACTCCTCACCTGGTTGCTGCGACACACGCTTGACACCATCTGAACCAAATAAGTTTATCAGACCACAGGACATGATTTTCAGTAATTATGTCCTTAGTCTGCGTGTCTTCAGAAAACTGTTTGCGGGCTTTCTTGTGCATCATCTTTAGAAGAGGCTTCCTTCTGGGATGACAGCCATGCAGACCAATTTGATGCAGTGTGCGGCATATGGTCTGAGCACTGACAGGCTGACCCCCCCACTCCTTCAACCTCTGCAGCAATGCTGGCAGCACTCATACGTCCATTTTCCAAAGACAACCCCTGGATATGACGCTGAGCATGTGCACTCAACTTCTTTGGTTGACCATGGGGAGGCCTGTTCTGAGTGGAACCTGTCCTGTTAAACCGCTGTATGGCCTTGGCCACTGTGCTGCAGCTCAGTTTCAGGGTCTTGGCAATCTCCTTATAGCCTAGGCCATCTTTATGTAGAGCAACAATTCTTTTTTTCAGATCCTCAGAGTTCTTTGCCATGAAGTGCCATGTTGAATTTCCAGTGACCAGTATGAAAGAGTAAAAGCGATAACACCAAATTTAACACACCTGCTCCCCATTCACACCTGAGACCTTGCTGCACTAATGAATCGCATGACACCGGGGATAGAAAATGGCTAATTGGGCCCATTTGGACATTGTCACTTAGGGGTGTACTCACTATTGTTGCAAGCGGTTTAGACATTAATGGCTGTGTGTGGAGTTATTTTGAGGGGACAGCAAATTTACAGTTATACAAGCTGTACACTCTCTACATTGTAGCAAAGTGTCATTTTTTTCAGTGTTGTCACATGAAAAGATAGAATAAAATATTTACAAAAAAGTGAGGGGTATACTCACTTCTGTGAGATACTGTGTATTTATATTTGTGTGTGTGTGTATGTGTATATATATATATATATATATATATAATAATTTTGTATGTGTAAGGAAAAAGCAGTAGCCAATTGGTTCATATGCTGACAAAGGGCAGAGTGACTGAGAAATGAGCTAATTTGTGCTGCCACTGCTCTTACTGACCTTCTGTAAGATACTGTAACATGTAGTCAATTAGTGGTGGTTATCATTTAAAGAGCCCTATGACTCATTTGGACTAAAAATCACTGATCAAGGAAATTTTGAGAATAAATACAAAATAAATGTCATGGTCTTATTACACATTCTCAAATACAAGTAAACACATGAATATAACATTAAAAAAAATATATAAAATAATCACATAAGAAGGGGGGATCATTATGGGATATACAGCCATAAAAACAAGTTCATGAATCTTATTATAATTTTATTGGGGGCATAGTGGTATTAGTTATTTAAATATTTGTTATGGATTGGGAATAATAAAACTAAATCAAAGAGCGAGTAATACCCATCAAATGAGGGGTA